CCCTGCCACAAAGTTCAAGGAGGCAGAGTCTTCTCCTGGTCATTGAAGAAGGCAAATTCAAAGTTGCTCCATTTCAGATCAGTACCTGGCTCCTGGGTGTACCTCACCTATTGGCATTGTGCAGGGTTTCCTCTAAAGCCAAGAGATGTTTTACAGCTTGATCCAAAGCACTTAATGCCTCTGAAGCAGGATTGACTGCTACTCACAGAGTTTTCTCTCTTCCTGAAGTGATTCAGTCCTCTGGCTTCCAGAGAGAGCAGATGACTGCTGTGAGCACATGGGAGGCACCTCCATGTGATGAAGACTGGGAAACAGGTGAGGAGCTTCTCCATCTGCCACATTGCTGCCTCCTCCCTGATCTTGTCCTTCAACTCCGCTTGGGACAGTGTGAGTCCAGAGATGCTGTTCACTTAGGTCTCACTTGTAGGACACCTTGCTTCTGCTCATTCCTAAAAACCTACATCTCTCCACCCAGCAGGCTTTTCTTGGTGAAGAGATCTATTCAACGTGCCTGCCATAACTGGCATGGAGATGTATTTCCAAGCATCTGCTTCTTCCCATATAAGCTTTTGTGTAGTGATGACAATGGAAACATGATAGCTTTTATGTTCCTCAGTTAAATGATAGTGAAGCAGACACATTCATCATGAGATCAACTTTTACTCCCTCTTGAACATGTAGAAACATGACAGAGATATTCCTGATCTGATGGTGGTTGCTGGAGTTTCTTAGTTCTGAGCCACAACATCTGTGTTCTTTTGCAGAGTCGTTGGACCAGTCGGATTCTCCTTTTGTTTGGGGCATGACCAGCTCTGGTGCAAACAAGGAGCAAATGCAAGTTTGATTCCTTACAACAGTGTTTTGTGTGGAGGAATATTGCAGCCTGCTCCCAGCCCAGCCTTGATGGCTGACTTTGCTGCTGTACAAACCCTGGGAGGAGAGCTGCTGATGAACAGGGAACGTCCTTAGGGTGCCAGTTCGGTGTTCCTTGCTTTCTCGCGTGACTGGCCCATACAAGAGAAGGAATGCCTTGGGCACACAGATGCTCCCTGCTCTTATAGGCATGTGGCAGGGTGCTTTTCCTGCCCATGGCCTGTGTTTATCCTGCTGGATGTCTGGCCAATGTGCAGGGGAGAAAGGTGCTGAGCATTTAAGCTGACTTCAGAAATGTGGCCAGGTGCCTCCCTCTGGAGCCTTTTCAAATAGTTACTGAGCTTCTGTTGGGCTAATGGTTAGCTAACAGTCCCTGGTGACCTCTTGTCGCCTTAGACTTGGCAGATGTGATGGCATTAAGACCCGATATGAGCAGAAATTTCCCCCTCTTGCCCTTTGCAAAGCGTAATGATAGTTTGGGGTTGGGGCAGTGAGGAGCTTAATGGCTAGTTGAGGACTGAATGGAGCTGCTTTGACTGGTGTCATTGATCCGACAGTGGATCGTGACTGCAGGCTGTATATACAGCATGTGATGGCACCACCAGAGTTGCTAAAGCTTGTTTTAAGGTTTGTCTAAGCCCATGTGCAGCAACAGTCTGCGCCTGACAGCTCTGCAGTTCTGTTAGCTCAGCCGTGATATATACCTCTCCATAAGGGGTGACAACAGCGCTATCTGGTTTCACTTTTAGAGTTTTTGGAAAACTTTCTAGTGTTTAGAGCATATGTAGTGCTTCTAAGCACCACCACCTCTGAGTGGCAAAGTACCGTCCCCTTATGGCCCTGCTCTCCTTCATGCTCTAGTAAAAAATTTAGCAAGTGCAGTTGTCAGAAGTAACTGAAGTCTTTCTGTTCCAGTACCGCCGCTGAACAGAATTGCCTGCCTTCGAGAGTACGTGCCCCTGAGTCCTTCCCTTACACTGGGGAATCGTGGAAAGGCTGTAAGTACTGTGCACGTGGTGTGGGCACTGGGACTTCTGTAGATGGTGACAGTTGCTGAAATCTCTGGCTGCAGCAGTGCTTTATGGCCAGGGCTGCATGGACAGGAGGGGTAGTGTATAACACCTCCCTCCTCAAGAGCAGCTTCTGAGGGAATCTGGTGCTTGGACCATCCTCTATATCCTCTGTTTCATGTTCTTGACAGGCACTAAATTACAGTGATCCAGTTTAAGCAGCCCCGCTCCCCAGCCACTTTGTCTAAACGAGTCCTTCCACACCGTCTACACTAACCCCTTTCACACCCCACTCTCCCCCTCCGCCCTCCCGACTTAAACCGAATGATTTCCTTGCTTTGTGCAGCTCTGCTCACTGTCAGACACAGCTCAGTCAGAGCAGGGGTAAAACTAGGGCTGCTTAAGTCAGCACTACTGGGGAAAAAAAACCTGTCAAATTACATCTGGAGGTGAGAGGGAGGGAGGTTCCTGTGTTGAAGTGTCTGACGCTGAAATCACAGACCATTATTTGCCATTAGCAGCAAATCGAAAGCTTAAAGGTGCTTCAAGGAATGACTGTCTTGTTTCCCACCTGGAGCGACTAAATCCCATCCTCTCGGGGCTTTGCAGGCACCGCTTCTGCACAAGCCAGTGCCTGTGCAGTGGCCGTAGTGTCAGGCTGAATCTGCCAAACCAAATTGAAGTGTCGCTTGTAGATAAGCCTTGTTGCCAAGGTGACAAGTGCTGCTTCAACAAAGGCCACTGTCACTTGGGGGAGTGAAGGAAATTCTTGTCTTTTTCTTGGTCTTGTGCAAAAAATGTGCCTTGCCCTTTCCAGAGTTTGGAGTACTAGCATCAGTTTCCCCTGGAAGACCGTTCCCCCCAGCACTAAATGGCTCCCTTCCTAGGACCACAGGACTCCTGCAGATGCCAAATATTCTTTGGACCTGATGGCAGCACTCTGTGGACTTGGCTGTTGCTTCATGGCATGTTTTGTAAAACTGTCCTTGGTTGCCAAATCTTTTTCCCAAGCATTTGTTTTGTAAGTTACCCTCATCTTCATTTGATAGTCTTTGTTACTGTTACTGAGTGAACAGACTGATAAATTTACACAGCACCAACTCAGAAACCTTCTCTCCTCAGGCAGCAGTGAGTAGTTAACAGAAAGAGCGCAGGAATTAGCAAGTCTGTGTGGGTTCACTTGTCAAATGGCAGCGCTGATGATCAGTGAAGTTGTTCTGTTTGCTTCAGTGATTTGGAAACAGCAGGAGAAATCTTCTGAAGTGGGATGGGGTTTAAGGGGCAGGGGTGGTGTTAAGTTGAGGAGGTAAGGTCTGGTTGGGTTCCCAATCAGAGAAGTGATAGTGGGGAAACAGAACAGCCTGGGTAGTTGCACATAACGCTGAAATCTTGTCCCTTAGCTTGATGCTTTAAAACAAGTGTGTGCATTTGCAAGCAGCCCCTTCAGAGTTGTGTGCTTAAGATGTTTTGTGCTAACTGTAAACGAGGGGATGTAGTTATGCTGGGGGGTGTCCCTGCGAGAATGGCAGATTTCTGTGAATTCAGGCCTTGGTGCAGCAGGAACTGTTATAGTCCCATTTCAGTGGAAGTCAGGAACCGCACAACAGAGTAATTTCCAGAAATTTCTACCCTGCACCACAAGCATGTGTCTTGCATCTGCAAAGCAACACTACATATTACTGTTCTCAGGATTATATGGTGTCTAGAGTGATTTCTGTGGAACTTCTACTGGACGTGTGTGAAAACATTTGGTTGTTTGCTGGGGAGGTGCAGAGAACTTTCTCTGCAGTGAGCTGTGGTCGTAAGATCTGTAGCCAGCAGAATCATATTGGAGGGCCTGTTACAGCCTGTAGAGCATGACGTAAGTTCTGAGAGTTTGTCTAGTCTGTAAAGAAGCTGAGACTTCCTACTGCGTGATGTTTGATTAAAATTATCTGGATCAGCCAAACCTAGAACTATTTTTTTCTGTCCATGCATTTTTTGCCAGCATTTGAGTTTGTCCACATAGAGTATGTAAAGTGGACAGTTTTGATTTTTAAACCACGTTGTCATTTACAGAGACTTCTTCTTCCTAGAAAGCATCTCGATCGTGCCTTTACAGCTTCAAGCCTTAAGCCTTAACTTTGTCACGTGGGTGCGTGGCGCTTCAAGTCGTACAATAATGGGGAATCCTCTGTGAGTTCCTCACAATATGCATAATACCAAAGAGATGAAGTTTAAAGAGTACACTTAAATACTTGTCTGGTTTCAGTTAGGGTTTTGTAGTTTTCTAACACTTAAAATACATTTGAGAGCTCTAACATTGAGGGGGCAGGGAGGGAGGAGGCAGGAATGGTTTAAGTCACTAAAAATGCGTGTTTGGGTCTGCGTAAACATTTGGATCCAGCAGTATATTTCAAAAAATGGATGCAAAGTACAAAACGGAATCTACAAACACAAAGAATTAAGAAACCAGACATGGTATTTGTCTAGAAAGCAATTAATGCCTCTCACATTTTGCAAAGAAAGTTCCTCAAAATACTGAATTTTCACCATTTGTATTACTACCAATGTAAAACAATACATGTTGTCTAGAATGTGCAAAATTAGGATTACTTTAAAGTTCGGTTCTGTCAAGGTTCTTTGGCAATTTAGAATAAAAAGGTTATGAATACTCCTGGACTCATTTTTTTAAGACATCTGCAGTGATTTGTTATACACTATTTCTGTTGAATAAGTAAATGCTTACACAGTAAGCCCTCCACTCAACCTTTATTTGATTATTTTTTTGTCACTTTGAATGAAAGTGGTGACAAATGTCAGCTCTTTGATTGTTGCTGGTTTGACTGCAGCAGCTTATTTGCAGGATTTGTGGGCCAGAGGATTATAATTTTACAGATAGACGCCATAATTGGGCCCTATTATCCTAAGCTCGTTTAATTGCCTGGTGGTGAAAGACTGGCAGTACTTAGTGCAGTAACTACCTGTGTTTTGTTGGGTCTCTCCACTTGTCTGCACTGCAGAGGAGGTGAGCTTGGGGTGCACCTCCTCCCAGGAGCCACATTGCCCCAGGCCCCAGCTCTTCATCAGGGTGAATCCTGAGAGAGCAGTGTTCTCCAATAGGCCTGCCTTCCTGGAAAGGACAAGGTGGGCTTGGCAGGTCATGGCCGGGACCTCAGAAGATCTCCTGGCCACAATAATCAGAGGTTAGGGACCACAAGAAGTGAGTTTGTCTTGTAGGGCGGGTGCAGCCAACGCAGGACTGAGATCTGAAAGCCTGTATCCTTCTGGGCAGCTTCCTCGAGTATGTCCTGCATGTGCCACTGCCTCTGAAGAACAGGAAACCCGTCATTTTCCTGTTCCCTGTAGTGATCTGGGAATGCAAGATTAACAGGCTGTAAGGCTGTAAAACACAAAGATGACCCTGCTCGAGTTTTATGACTATTTAAAATCCCAGTATCGTCTATCATTGTGCTGTTTGATCCCTTTGGTTGTTTTGTGTTTACCACAGGACAGGGAATGTTTTAAAAAGCATGTTGGATGGCACCTACTCCAAGGTGGCAGAGCGAGGAGTTTCATGTGACTGTCACTGCGGTTACAGCCACGTGTTCCTGTGTCAAATCCTTGGTCTCTCTTGTGATGGTCAGGCTGTGCAGTGCTGGAGCCTTCACCCACTTCACTAGAGGTTGGATGTGTCCCTTGCCAGAAGAAGGTGGTGGGATGTAAGGAAATAGCAGCCCCTCTTGGCCTGCCAGGGGGGGTTTCAGAGCACATGCCTGAGTGACTCCCCCAGCCTGAGTTTCTTGGTAGCTTAACAGTGCCTGTGCTCACCCTGAGCGCTCCTGTGGGTGCACCCTACCTGCTCAGCCATTTCTGCCTTGGCTGAGCCACCAGCTCTGCAGCAATGGGACTGGTCTGACTAGAAATGCCTACGGAAATTTGGGGTAGGAGTTGTTGTGTCTGCAGTTGTCCCTGGTGACTCAGGAGGGAGGAGAGGAGGCAGCGTTTACCTTTAGGCACAGATTCCTCTGTGTTGGAGAGCCTGGACGCACTGGAGTTTGTTGTTGTTGTTTCTCCCAGTGCCTGTAGCCCTGCGTGGTGTCTGATGGGTCTCTCCACCCCTGGTTTGCACCCGGCCACTGAGGTGCAGCAGCTCTGCTCAGGGCTGAAGTGCACCCGTGCTGTTGGTGCAGCTCCTGGATGCACAGACCCCTAGTGCTCTGCCTTGTCCCTGTGGCTCACTGTGTGGTTCTGCACAAAACATACAGGGCCACAAAGATGACCCAGGGGTTGGAGCAGCTCCCCTGTGAGGACAGGCTGAGGGAGCTGGGGTTGTTCAGCCTGGAGAAGAGAAGGCTCCAGGGAGACCTTAGAGTGGTTAAAGAGGGGTACAGGAAAGGTGGGGAGGGACCCTTGATCAGGGAGGGTAGTGGTAGGACGAGGGGTAACAGTTTCAAACTGGAAGAGGAGAGATTTCGATTAGATATTAGGAAGAAATTCTTCACTGTGAGGGTGGTGAGGCACTGGAACAGGTTGTCCAGAGAGGTGATAGATGCCCCGTCCCTGGAAACACTCAAGGTCAGGTGGGACAGGGCTCTGAGCAACCTGATCCAGCTAAAGATGTCCCTGCTCACTGCAGGGGGTTGGACTAGATGGCCTTTAAAGGTCCCTTCCAACCCAAAAGGCCCCTTCCAACCCTTGATTCTGTGACTTTCTCCCACTGAAAGGCTGAGCCTGCACTGCAGGACCCCCCCCATGCTGTCGCTGTGCTACAGGGGCTGGAGCACAGCAAGGTGCAAAGGTCTAGGTGGATCAGTGGGGAACCAGATCGCTTCTTCGCCCTTGTGGGTTCTGTGTTCCTCATGGGCTGATTGGGACAGCGCAGCCAGCTCCCTGCAGTTCCTGCTGTGGGGGCCCTTGCTTCTGGATCCTTGCTGAGTCAGACCCTCCTCCGCACCTTGGTGGTCTGCTGTAGGGTCCCAGCTCCTCTCTGCTTGGCCACCAGCTGC